TGCTGGAATGTCTTCAACAAATTCTGCAACCAACTCTGGAACATCAGTGCCAAACAGTGGAGCCAGCAATGTGACAGTAACAACAACTCATGCAACTGGTGCTGGAATGTCTTCACCAAACAATGCAACCACATCAGATACATCAGGGTCAAATGCTGGAACCAGCAATGTGACAGGAGCAACATCTCCTGCAACTGGTGCTGGAATGTCTTCAACAAACACTGCAACCAACTCAGGAACATCAGGGACCAATGCTGGAACCAGCAATGTGACAGGAGCAACAACTCCATCAACTGCAGCTGGAATGTCTTCAACAAATTCTGCAACCACATCAGGAACATCAGGGTCAAATGATGGAACCTTAAATGTGACAGGAGCAACATCTTCTGCAAGTGGTGCTGGAATGTCTTCAACAAATGCTGCAACCATCTCTGGAACATCTGGGTCAAATAGTGGAGCCAACAATGTGACAGGAGCAACAACTCCTAAAACTGTTGCTGGAATGTCTTCAGCAAACACTGTAACCACATCAGATACATCAGGGTCAAATGCTGGAACCAGCAATGTGACAGGAGCAACATCTCCTGCAACTGGTGCTGGAATGTCTTCAACAAACACTGCAACCAACTCAGGAACATCAGGGACCAATGCTGGAACCAGCAATGTGACAGGAGCAACAACTCCATCAACTGCAGCTGGAATGTCTTCAACAAATTCTGCAACCAATTCTGGAACATCAGGGTCAGTTGCTGGAATCAGCAGTGTGACATTAAAATCTACTTCAAGTGCTGTAGCTACGTCTTCAACGAAACCTGCAACCAGTGCTGGCTTTACCATACCTAATGGTGTAACTAATACTTCTGATATATGTGCCAACTTCATCAACTATAATGACACTGTTGCCTTCCTTCAAAAGGTATGTACCTTTTTTTTTTTTTGACCAAACACATACTATTTTTTGTAGCTTTTAATTGAACTTTTTTATTTTATGTGTTTACCATATTAAAAATAACTACTTCTCCATGACCTTTTAGGGGAACGTTTCTGATGATCTGAAAAAGGTGATCCTCCCCTGTGTTTGGACATTTGCTCTGAGCAGCAACAGTAGATCTGAGGCGAATTTATGGTTTGACGTTCGGTTGAAAAACTACCTGACATTCCTCACAAAGAGCCTCATCAGCCCCAGTGAAGTGCAGAACGCCTCATGCTTTGCCTTCCAGAAACTGTATGTCTTTGCTGATAGAATCAGAAAGTTAACTGAAATGTTATAACACAGCTCAGTTACATGATTTTCTTTCAACAGGGTGTCTTTTCTGGGAAATACCTTTGTGTATTCCAGTTCTGATTTTGGACGACAGGATGTGTATACCACCATCAGAAGCTACTTGCGCACTGGTAAAATAAAATACAAATAAATAAATAAATTATAATAGTTAATTTCTTGAAGACCCAAGCTTAGAATTTTACTTTTTTTTGTTTGTTTGTTTTATGCACTTGTCCTTATTCATATGTGTCATTTTACCAGATAAATATTGAATGACTTGAACTTTGATTAAATAATTTACTGATGACTCTCTGATGTTTCTGTAGGCTCAGGGGCCAGATGCTACAATCTCAATAATACTGAACTCTCTTCTACCTCCTGGTTTGTTGATAATATTGGTAGCTTTGTGACTTTTATCACTTTGGATGATCTCACCAGCTTTGGCTCTGCCTCTCAGGTATGTTCTCATTATTTGTTTATACTGTATAATACATTTTATACTTTAAACTTTAACACAGTATAGAAATTGACAGATTAGCTTTAGCATTCTTATGTAGTTATATTAGCTTTGAAATGTTCATGTCACATATTTAATTTTTCTTTTTGCAATTAAGAAACACATTTAACTGCAGATAAGAATGTTTCATAAAACTGTTGTTCAAACTCTTGTTCATTCAAGAGGAAATGTAAGAGAGAGCAGGAAACAGGTACTTTTACATAGAATCCTTATAGTCAAGAATGCTCCAAGCAAAGATTGCCAGTCATTTTGGGTAAACATCATATGGTCAAATGAAATGCAAAGTAAAAAAAAAACTTGTTAATGCAGTGTCCCTTTATTTTACCAAATGCCAAAACCAATTCTCCGAAAGTAAAAAATGTCGGTGCTTATCCGTTAATATTTATCCAAACATTTGTGTTTAAAGAATGGAGCGTTCTTGCAAAACCAAGCCAGTCTGGGGCTATTCAACAACATTGCTATTCCAAAAGATGTGATAAACTACTACATCTCACAGCTTTTCACATTCAACACAACATTCAGCGTTTTGAAGTAAGTATCTACTATTTCACAAAAATACCCATAGTGATATTAGAGGAATTAATTTAGACGTAATAAAATATCAATGTGTAGAAAAAGTTAAGTGATTTATCCCTTGTTATTTAGCCTTCCAGGTATTTTGTTGTGCTCTCCTGCCATCCCAAGTTCGGCGTTTACTTCTCTTAATGAAAATGACAGCATAGTCATCCTGAACAGGAGGAAGGAATTCTGCAATGGAACTGTAGACCCTGAGGTACCCGCTCAAAACTCATAGAGCTCATACACAGAAAATTGAACCAAATTTAAATGTTCTGCTCAGAGACTGTCTCCCTTAGTGCAAGAAGCCGGGGCTGCTGGCCTTCATGTTGCGCTCAAAAGATATTGCACATAAAATGCTGATTAAAACAGCAGCTGTGTTTGACGCCAAAAAATAAAACAACAACAGAAACCAAATCTACATCTACACTTATTTTTCTTTACATACAAGATTGTGCAAGCATTGCAGCACACCTACCTGCTAGAGGAGCAAAAGATAGTTTGAAATTCCTACGAGCCATTGCATGAGAAATAAGGTAGACGGTTACCGTAAAACTTTATTTTTTCTTTTATTCTTGATGTTGTCTGGAATGATGTTTTAATAGAAGCAGTTAATTGCTTTCATGATAAAAACTCTTATGGCAATGACTGATATTCTGCCAGCATTCACCGTAAAACCTAAAAGCCAAAAGCAATACTATCTTGCAACTGGCAAATGCTTGGGCAGTATTTTGGACTAATTAAAGTACAATAGAACAGTAGTTCTGTTTTGCCCACAGTCCCTTCAGAAAAGGTGGTCTTTTTATGTTCTTGTCTTCACAAGGGTGATAAAAAAAATCATTTAAGAAACTAGAGAAATGTATTTTTCTTTGAAAATGCAGTGTGAATGCTAAGTGCTGAATGGTTTTGCTGAAATTTGTTTAAGAAGCTGAAGCTGAGCTGTTAAAGCTAAAAATAAAACCCAAACAGGAATACAATAGTGTGAACTTTGAACAAGCACTGACACAGCAACATTCAGATTCTTTTTTTTTTTGAGGTTGAGGAAATTGATTTTTGCTTCATGGACATGTAATTGGGAATCACCTTGAACTTTTTGCGATAAACTGATGCCAGATAATTTGTCTTTGATAGGTAAATGCTGCTTTGGCATCCAACATCAAAACCTTCACACAGCAGACGTTTGTAAGTCTCGGGAGTGCTGTTACGAGCCTGACCAGCTCCCAGATCACTTCAGTGTCCTCGTCGGTGCTGGTTGCCTCGTTGACCACTCTGGGCTCAATGACAAACTGGAGTCAGGACAAGGCCACGACCATAATACAAACCATCACCACCTCAGGCTACCAGGTAGGAGTGGCGCTCTGATTAAACTGGACATGAATGTGTATTTAGATAAACGTGACTTTAGAAAGGTCCAAGTTTAAAGAATGATGTCTAATGTGGATGAAAATGTGATTGGCAGATTAACAGTGCAGCTTCCCTGGAGTCTCTAGGCACTCTTATTGTTGGGCTTCCTTCAAAGTCCATAGTGGACATCTCAGCTTCTGAAATTGTCATTGCCTCCAAGAACCCCATCCTTGTTTCCAACATGGTGGAAGCTCCAAAAGTACTCCAGGAGCAATTTGTCAAAAAGGTACACAGTTTTGCTGGCTAACACAAAGATAAAAAGCATCAAACAACATTTAAAGCAAATGACTCACAGTAAAATACGTCTAACTTTTCAACAGATCATTTCTGTGGATCCAAGTCCAGCCAAAGTGGTGCTGAATGTCCCAGATGTCTTAGCCCCTGAGATCCCACCAGCTGTACTGGTATTTCCTAAGGCAACTGCAGACATCAATGTGTTGAACAAGAAGACATGGACAAAAGATCAGGTCAGTGTTTGGGTGTTATTGTACATGCAGATTTTATTATTGTATAATGTCAATATGTGGACGTCTACTTTAGTTGTTAGAGGTGACGGTCTTTATTCAGTGTTACAGTGTTTCATCCAGAAAATAACGATTTGTTTTAAAATCTTTTATTTAGTCCACTATGTTCCTTTGGGCTGTGGCTGAATCTGATTTTGACACTGAGCAGTAAGTGCACAAATTCTGCAACTATTTCTAATTCAGCCTTCTTCTTAAATGAAAGAAAGAAAAATATTGCCTTTTTTAATTTATTTACTCCTTTTTATGGTTTTGTAGGCTTTCTCCATCTGTGCTGCAAGGCTTCTCATGCACGTTAGTCCAACAATATACAAAAACTAAGATCCAGCCGTTGATCCGTGCCTGTAGGCCGAGGAACGACAGAGCCAAGGTGGAACTGAAAGAGTCACAGGTAAAATCTACAAGAATCGAATGTAATGT